TGATGCCCAAAATTCAATTGCTAGGCCAAGCTAAAATTGGTATAAAATTTACACATTCATTTGCTCCATGATAAGTCATGGAAACCCTCTAAGTGACCTTGGGCAAAATTTCCTCAGCCACAGAGGAAGGCAAAGGCAAACCCTCTCTGAAGTTCATCTTTGGGTCACCATGACTCAGAAATTATTCTAAGACACACAACTATAACAAAGACAACACTTCTGTGGACAGCAAATAGGTTCATTTTGGAGCTTGCTAGCTATCCGCATTCACTCTGAACTGCATTCCCTATATTTGCTTAACATGGGGGAAACCATTCCAGGGTATAGAGCTAGTATAGACATGACCTGTGAATTTGACTATTCCTTCATAGTTGGATTTGCCCCAGTTGGTATTTCATGAAAATGTAATCAAGACTATGATTTCCTTCCGCTCTCAAATAGGAGGTTCCAGGCTCTGCCTTCCATATTCCTAGGAGATTCTTTCACATTCGGATCTTCTAGTGCCTCTTCTCCTCCGAATACTTGAATTCCAGGCCAGGTATGTTGAAATCTAATGAAGCTAGGAAGCAATTTATATAATTTTTGACTTACTAGGTCCTGATTGGCTCAGTGGATCTAGCTGAATCAATTAGATTTAAATCTCAACATACAACCCTTCGTATGGAGAATTTCCCCCAAAATGTATAATATCAAATTAATTGATTCTATGCCAGAATAATACAATGAAAACCTTACCCACTCTTCTTTGGGTATGTCTATCTATGTCTATCTGCTCCACTGACAATGAGGCAATGACTCACAAACTTGAGGCTAGAGGGAACATGATATTTGGCCACATGAGAAGCATGCTCTTAAAAGGCAAGAAGCACTGCAAAGCTTTGGGGTCAATTTAAAAGAAGCAGTGATATATACGAGGGGTATTTTTTAAGTAAGGTCAGTTTTGTTGTAAACACTAGTAGTTCGTGTGCATACTGCAACGAGCGCATGCGTCGTGTACCGGCATGCCTCGGGAACAACTGTGCTCAGTTTCCGCTCTGTAGCTAACCTGTACGGTTCTGTTCTGTGCTTTAAAAATGTTTAAGACTATCAACTCACCCGCCGCATGTGAGGTTCGCTCAGTGATACAGTTTTTGTCAGCAAGGAACCTGCCTGCTGCAGAAATTCATCGAGAGATTTGTGAAGTGTACGGTGGTACTGTTATGAGTGAAAGCAAAGTGAGTAAGTCGGTACGACAATTCAAAGATGGCCGTGACAATGTCCATGATGAGAACCGCTCCGGTTACCCTTCTTTGATTACAGTGAACTCTTGGTTATTGCAGCAGACGGCAAGTTTTTATGAAGAGGGTATTTTAAAATTGGTTCAGAGGTATGATAAGTGTTTGAACAAACTTGGCAACTATGTCGAAAAATAGAGTGAAGTATGTACTTTCTGAAAATAAATTTACTTTTTTGAAATAAACTTTTGTTGTGTACTTATGTTCCAACGGGCCTTACTTAAAAAATACTACAGTGTTATACTCTATGAGACCAATAGTTGTAAGCAAACTAGCATGAATATTTTTCTTGTCCAGAAACTCTGCAGTTTCTATACGCTTCTTTAAAACTTCACTTATATTTCTAAAGAATTTGCTCTTGAGAGTAACTCAAAGAAATGCAAAAGGCAAAAAGGAAATAATTGATAAACTTTAATCAATTTTAATAAGAATAATAAGGCAATGGTCTATTTTAAAAAAGCAATTTGTTTACTTTTGAAAAGCATGACAATTCCCAAGCAGTCAGCACAGGAAACAATAGGTAAACAATCTCCTCATTGCTACTGTATTGACCGTAATAAAGTGAAACAGCTACAGAGCAGTAGTAGTAGTGAATAAACAGTCATTTCATTGCTACCATATTGACAATGATAGAAGCAAACCTGTGCTGAAACAACAGTAGACAAACAACTATCTCCTTGCTACTCTATTTAATGCAATATTAGTGAAGCAATACAGAGGATGTTTCAAAGACAATGGCAGTGGCACCATAGCTAAAACGTCTTAGTATTGTGAAGTTGTCATGAAAAAAACCCTTTTTTAGTTCTTTTACTATGGAAGCCCTATGATGAGACAATCTAATATGAAACAAGTAATAATGCCAGCAAGCTACTGAAATAGAACAGAGGAACAAATATAGACAAGTAAGGGGTCAATCACTCAACTCAAGCCAAAAGGATGTTCAGATGTTGACATGTTCAAAAGTGAAAGGTAGTCAAATACATATTATAGAAACAATGAAATGTAAGAAGCAGGGGAAGCCAGACGTAGCAAAACATGAAATGGAACATATAAACATTGCAATATGTAAAGCGATTATGCTAAACAAGAGAGGAATGTGGTATTTTGAGTCAGATAATTGCATGGTGTTTTACTCAGGAAATGAAACGGTCTCTTCCTCCTTATAGTAAGTCCTTTATTTGATGGAATGGTGTAAGGTGGCTTATAAGGGACTCATAAGTACTATTGGGGAGGGGGAGATTTAAATACATTCCCCTTGTGGGGCATGTTCTCCAACCAAGGCAGCTAGGACTGCCTCCACAGGACGCCTGGCTCGAGAACAGTATGTGTGAAAAAGATCTTGGAGTCCTCGTGGACAACAAGTTAAACATGAGCCAACAATGTGATGTGGCGGCAAAAAAAAGCCAATGTGATTTTGGTCTGCATCAATAGGAGTATAGTGTCTAGATCTAGGGAAGTAATGCTACCCCTCTATTTTGCTTTGGTTAGACCACACCTCGAATATTGTGTCCAATTGTGGGCACCACAATTCAAGAGAGATATTGACAAGCTGGAATGTGTCCAGAGGAGGGCGACTAAAATGAAGGTCTGGAGAACAAGCCCTATGAGGAGCGGCTTAAGGAGCTGGGCATGTTTAGCCTGAAGAAGAGAAGGCTGAGAGGAGATATAATAGCCATGTATAAATATGTGAGAGGAAGCCACAGGGAGGAGGGAGCAAGCTTGTTTTCTGCTTCCCTGGAGACTAGGACGTGAAACAATGGCTTCAAACTACAAGAGAGGAGATTCCATCTGAACATGAGGAAGAACTTCCTGACTGTGAGAGCCGTTCAGTAGTGGAACTCTCTGCTCCGAAGTGTGGTGGAGGCTCCTTCTTTGGAAGCTTTTAAACAGAGGCTGGATGGCCATCTGTCAGGGGTGATTTGAATGCAATATTCCTGCTTCTTGGCAGGGGGTTGGACTGGATAGCCCACGAGGTCTCTTCCAACTCTTTGATTCTATGATTCTATGAGGCCGTGAGAAGTGTGACAAAGGATATGTCACCACCACTACCTCCTCAGTCGCCACCTTTTTCTGCAGCACTTTGCCCAATCCTTCCTGGTGAAGTGCAAGGAAGGCTCAAAGCTAATACTATCCCCAAGGTCCAGAAGATGAATACAGTCTTAGTTTAGAGTGTGTCCTGGCTCAGATTTGTGCAGGTAGGATTCTAAGCTGCCTACACTCTCACACTCCAGGGTATTTTTCTCTTGTTCTAGTTGGTAGCACAAACAAGGCTTCAGGGAGATATGAGGATTTGTGATATAGTGGGAGGTAAGGATTTGCAATTAGTCTTATGCTTGGATTCCTGCTATTTAACACATCTTTGTTCATGACTAGAAACCCTATACTGCCACCTCCATTGCTGCCCCTATGCCATTTCATTAATAGAGATTTATAAAGGAGCTATCTTGTTTGAATCTTCAGTGAGCTGAATCTGTGGAACATAAGACTTATTACAGGATGTGCATATGTATGCTAAGTTTTTACAAGGATCATTGCCTGTATGGGTGCGTGTTGAGGAAGAACACCTGGACAATTAAGCAATTAAACTTGAGCCACTCCCTGAATGGAGTATATCATGAGGAGCTTTCTTGATGTATTCAGGTGATCAGATGATCAGGAAGAGACCGGATGGGACTTCTATACTACAGGACTTGCTGAAGATCCTGAACAATTTACTACAAGACTCCTTGCACCAATGTAGAAGCAGAGAATGCATGATTTTAATGCATTGGACTTTTATGTAAGTTATTTTGCTGCAATAGACTAAGTTTATTTTCAAGGCTGGTTATTCTGTAAAGCTGCATATTTATCTGACTACTCAAGAGTAAATTTTGTTTTTGCTTTTACTCTGACTCTGTGTGATTCAACTCGAGGGCTGGGTCTGGGAAGACTACTGGGTAGCTTCCGCATAGACTGATAAACCGCAACAAGACTGTGGATACAGCAGGCCCACTGGATATGTTATCCTTGAAGACAATTAGAGATGGTACAAAGATGGATATATGAAAATGTATACATGTGTATTTGCTAATTACACAAAATATCCCCCTCTAGTTTCAGGCATCTACAAATACTTGCTAGTGGACAGAAGTGCAAATATTGGTTACCACTGTGTCACACTGCCAGTGTGGGAGAAATAGTCTACAAAAATGGGCTTTTATTCATTCACATAGTTGACAAATGGAAGATAGCGGAATAAACAAATCCGTAGTGCATGTGGCGAGAACAATAGTTGTATCCTTACAACAAATATTACAACCATTTAAAATGCTGTTGTATGCATTGCTACCATCACATGCATGGATAGTTTTGTTGAGCAGTTTTGGCATCATTTGATTTGTACACACAAACTAATAGCAGTTCTTTGAAATAATATAGATAATATAAGCTGTACATGTAATGCTAAGAAGGAATTCAATCAATAGTCAGCATTGTCCCAACCTATTCCATCTGCCCTACCTGAACAATGCTTTATGCATTCAGTCATGCTACTTTAGTAGAAATATACCTAGCAAAGTAATATAATTTCACTAGAAACACTTTGATGACAACCTTGAATACATTGACTCCTGTTACCAGGGCAGTGTGATGCTTCTGTACAATCCAATGCTATCATCATAATTCTTCATAGGTTTATTTAAGCAGTGGTTCTCAACCTGGGGTCCCCAGATGTTTTTGGCCTACAACTCCCAGAAATCCCAGCCAGTTTACCAGCTGTTAGGATTTCTGGGAGTTGAAGGCCAAAAACATCTGGGGACCCCAGGTTGAGAACCACTGATTTAAGGCCTTTTAACTGGTGTGGCATGTAGGTGGACCACACAAAGAAAGCTTTGACATATTAAGCAACAGTAAATGCTTCACTGGCTTATTCCACCAAAGCCAGCATCATAACTGCCATCTGATTTGAGTTTGCATTTAAGCAGAATTAAAGATCAAACATGTTCTCAAGGATGGGGCCTGAGCAATACTGGAGCTATCATTACAGTTTCCCCACTGATGTAGGCAACTCAAAATTCCTGGAGTATTTTAGATCTCAAAGGCTTTTGTCCCAGATGATGTGTTCTCCATTTTCTCTGGGAATTATTTGTCCAGTATATCACCAAACGTTAAAGCACAGACTACTGTGTGTTAGTTCATGAGTCTCGCTTGGCAGATTACAAGCCTATGAACCTTAACCTATGTACTATGTAGACATACAATTAGCTACATTTGCTGCCATACCCCCACCCCACTCCTATAATAAGACACTTACCATATTTATTTCCTTTTTTGTGTGTGGTACTCCTAGTGATCTAACTAGGTCATTAGATCACCATCCACTTAGTTTCAACAAGTTTATTGCATCATAGATGCATTCTGACTTCGTTCCATTCCATATTTCACAGTCTACCAGTTTTGCTGGCTCCTATCTTTCAATGAATTTTCAGCAAAAAAAAATCTTTGCTAAATGTGCTGACTTCCAAATAAGCAAAAAATATTGAATTATTCTCACTCCAGAATCCTTTAGGCTATTTATTTCGGACTGAAATCCACTTGGCAGCCTTTTCTCTATGTTTTCATTATTTGTGCTAAACATTTCAATATGCAAAGCTACATGAGTAACCAATTGATAGATATCAAATAGACAGAATTTTGTATTTGTTGAGGAAGCTATTTGTGTGAGATATAACTCAATAGACTTATGGGCAAGTTAAAGTATACATCTGACTACCATTATTCATCAGTGACATTTGTTGCCTTAGCAAGGACCAAACACTCAGAGAAAGAGGAGTTGCTTGAACCTTTGTCTGTACCTGCAACATTTCATTCCATAGGCACAGGAATAACAATAACAACTATGTAGTGTGAATAAGAATTAGTCACTGCCCCACAGTGTCTGGCTGAAATCAGTAGATGAAAAGAAGATCTTAAAGCTTAGTTTCTCTTTGACAAAATAATAACAAACATCATCCTTTTGTTGAGCAATGCTATGAAACACTTTCTTCAATTCCACTGCATTTTGATTAACCCCTTGATGAGAGTAATCAGAAATCATACAGAGGTTTCTGGATTTATTCTGGTAATTCCAGTGAGTCGGTTGCCCAGTCAGTGGACCATGATGCCCATTATGCCAGTTCTCATAAAAAGTCATCATTTTATTTTCACTAAATTTCAAAACAGCTATTTGTATAAAAAAATGTCTTTATAGATTATCTATGTGCTGCATCAAAGCTGTGTTTCTTCCCTTGTATCCTGTCCAATGGCATTGCAGAAGCTGCTTTTCCGGCTGGTTGCACTGTTTGGAACATATGACAGTGGATCTGGGCGAATCAAGTATCTTTGGGGGAAAAATATACAATGTTCTTCTTAATTCATCAGATATAACAAAAACACAAAACTGCGTATCAATGAACAATAATTTTATATAATGAGTAACTAAAATGCATTTTACTATAAACTGACAACAGCATTTGTGGCAGACAAAAAAAATTATAGATCCATAAAAAAAATCATAAAAATTCAAGCAGAGAGATTTTGTCCAGACTAATACGAGGGGTATTTTTAAAGTAAGGTCCGTTTTGTTGTAGACACTAGTAGTTCGCGCGCATACCGCAACGAGCGCGTGCGTCGTGTACCGGCATGCCTCGGGAACAACTGTGCTCAGTTTCCGCTCTGTAGCTAACCTGTACGGTTCTGTTCTGTGCTTTAAAAATGTTTAAGACTATCAACTCACCCTCCGCATGTGAGGTTCGCTCAGTGATACGGTTTTTGTCAGCAAGGACCTGCCTGCTGCAGAAATTCATTGACAGATTTGTGAAGTGTACAGTGATACTGTTATGAGTGAAAGCAAAATGCGTAAGTGGGTACAACAATTCAAAGATGGCCGTGACAACATCCATGATGAGGACCGCTCCGGTCGCCCTTCTTTGATTACAGTGATTTGATCGCACACTCAAATCTTTGGTTTTTGTGGTCCTCTGTTAGGAGTTTCGGGACCCAACGGGAGCACAGTTTCCTAAACTTTAGGTGTTCAGAAACAATGTTGTAAAGCACTGATCTCGACACGTCAGGAAATTTGAGAAACCTGTTATTGTGAAGCACCTGTTCTCACGAATCCTCGCTTCAACTGAAGCCACCAAATCGTCTGTAATCAAAGAAGGGCGACCGGAGCGGTCCTCATCATGGACGTTGTCATGGCCATCTTTGAATTATCATACCCACTTACGCACTTTGCTTTCACTCATAACAGTATCACCGTACACTTCACAAATCTGTCGATGAATTTCTGCAGCAGGCAGGTTCCTTGCTGACAAGAACCGGATCACTGAGCGAACCTCACATGCGGAGGATGAGTTGATAATCTTAAACATTTTTAAAGCACAGAACAGAACCGTACAGGTTAGCTACAGAGTGGAAACTGAGCACAGTTGTTCCCGAGACATGCCGGTACACGACGCATGCACTCGTTGCAGTATGCGCGCGAACTACTAGTGTCTACAACAAAACGGACCTTACTTTAAAAATGCCCCTTGTATAATGAGTAACTAAAATGCATTTTACTATGAACCAACAACAGCATTTGTGGCAGACACAAAAATTCATAGATTCATAGAAAAATCATAAAATTTTAAGCAGAGAGATTTTGTCCAAACTAATATATTTCAAATCACATCATTTATTTTGGTCATTGACCAGCACAGGAAATAGAGTCACATTTTCATACAAACTAATATATTTGAATATCGTAGAATCACACTAGAGCAGAGGTGTCAAACTCATTTTCATCGAGTGCCACATCAGCACATCACCTTCAAAGGGATCAATGGATGGACAATCTATGGATACAGAGGACCAACTACATTCTTTTTTATATACAGTAATCAGTCCTCTTTAATTTCTATCCAATTTAGGTTCCCAGATGTTATTGAATGATGACTCCAATCACTTGATTATCTGCCATGTGAACCGGAGATAATGGGAATTGTAACCTGATAGCACTTGTGGCCCTGAGGCTGAGGAAAGGTTAATTGACAATGTAAAGTTAGATATCATATCCACAAATCTTTTGCATTAACTCAAACCTCACTATCCTGATTTAATAGAACAAACTGCAGCTTTCCAGATGTTACTGTACCACACCCATCAACTCTAGTCATATCTAATGATGAGAAATACAGGGATTGTAGTCTAGTATCTGGAGGCCTACATAAAATGATATGGCATGCTGGATTCAACCCACAAGCCTCGAGTTTGACACATGTGCTGTATAGAAACAAAAGATAAGAAAGCTATCAAAATGAAAATCCACCTGAACTTGGGGAAATATTTTTGTGGAAGTAGGAGGATATGTTTATGTTCTTTTACTTAAAGGACACGGAAGAAACATTGCTTCTTACTCTAATGTGGCATTAGAAAATTGTTATATGGCCAAACAGACACTTTCAATATGCATACAAAACAACTAGAAGTAAAGGTTTCTAGCCACTGTGGTGGCCACCAAATACCATAAAAACACACAGCAGTTTTGATGGGGGGGGGAGGGGGAGGTTAAATTCTTTTAATCATTTCAATCTTCTTATTTTGAATTTAATTTTTAAAAAGAATATTCAACCCGATCTATAAAATTAACAGCTTCTGCTACAGCAGGGGTCCACAAACTTTTAAAACAGAGGGCCAGGTCACAGTCCTTCAAACTGTTGGAGGGCCGGATTATAATTTGAAAAAAGCATGAATGAATTCCTATGCACACTGCACAGATCTTATTTGTAGTGCAAAAGACACATAAAAACAATACAATAATTAAAATGAAGAACAATTTTAACAAATATAAACTTATTAGTATTTCAATGGGAAGTGTGGACCTCCTTTTGGCTGATGAGATAGGATTGTTGTTGTTGTTGTTGTTGTTGTGTGCTTTCAAGTCATTACAGACTTAGGTTGACCCTAAGCAAGGGCTGGGTAAATGACTTTGAAGGGCCACATTCGGCCCCCGGGCCTTAGTTTGAGGACCCCTGTGCTACAGGATAGTGAAAACACTCAGTTTTTGGAATGTTGTATTTTATGGTCTCAACTTACACAACATCATTCAGTTCAAGTCGTGTGTCTGGAGAAGGATTGATCAGGATGTATGAAAGGGTATTGTGGTGATCATTCATTTCATCTACAGGAAAAAAAGAGAAAATTAATAAAGGAAATGAAAAAAGGCTGTGTCGAAAAATTGTTTCACACAATAAGATAACACAAAATGAGTCAGAGCTGAAATACTGCTACTATTTTATTTTATTCTTCTTTATAAGACAAAAACAAGATACAGTTGGGTAGAGGGGAAAAGGACAAATAATTGATCAACAGGTAAGAGCAGATCTTATTTTTTTATTGCTTGTTAGGCTACAGGATAGACCAGGCTCTGAAAAAGCAAATGACAACTTCATTCAATTAGAAAACAGCATAACTTCCATTGAAAAGTGAACATTTTAAGCTATATGTACTGGGGATTGTTTTTCCGCAATTTTTCCCTCCCAGTTCCAAAGATTCACAGAAATTATGAGCTATGTAATCCGGAAGAGATAAGACTTTTTAGCTGTCAAAGCAGCTTGGAAAGCTGAAAAGTCTTTTTTACAGTCTCCAGTGAGGATTCCTATAAAAGATTGAAGCTTGGGGGAAGGAAAGATGTAGGAAATCAGAAATTAGATTGTCAGCTGCCTGTCAGATTGTCCAAAACTTCGTCACCCATCTTTCCTAGAAATCCTCTCTAGGGGCTTTGAAAAGGCTTTTCGGTTGTCAATCCAGTAGGCAGAGAAGGGCTGGGGATGGAAACTGAAACATCTTTCCACAACATCTATTTAGGATTTCTGTGAAAGATTGGGGAGATAAAGTTGTGGATATTTGACAGTTGATTATCTCATTCTTCTTTTTCCTCCTGCAATTTCCCTCTCTCCAAGCTCTAAACCTGACAAGAGGCTATGAAAAAAAATCAGCTGTCAAAACTGAACAATTTTCAGTAAGAAGAAAAAAAGTCTTGACAATGCAGAAAGTTTGAGGGAGCTTGAATTTTTATCCCATTCAGGAAACTGGCACATCCCCATACTACACCTATACTATGAGGGAGAATTCAGAGAAAGTAAGGTACAGATATAAACCATGGAAAACATACAATTTTATAAACAAACTTCAGATGCAAAAGCTGTAAGCATAGCATTTTTTGGGACTCTGCTCTATGTTTGAGTCATGTCTACTGTACATATTGACCATACTACTTTAAAACATGAAGTATACATAAGTATTAAATCGAATCTTACAGGTAATGGTGACTTATATAGGAAGGCCATAATTAAATGTATTACAAGTTGTGCTGTCGCACGCTGGGCCTGTGCACAAGACTGTAGACAGGACATAAATTCTGTGTGCCCAACGGGACGCCGGGGCTACCTCAGATTAAAGGCCCTTGGATTTCCTTAAACAGAGTCTTTAGATTGCTTAAAGGCTCAACAAAGTTCTTTATTAATGAAAACAAACAGGTACTTTAAGGCTTTCTTAACAGTCTATTGGCTCTCTCTCAATCTTGTCCACAGGGAACAGGCACTATCTTCATAACTGTAACTAATGGGGAAATCCTTAACTTCTAATCTGGCCAGTTTGTCTTTGCCTCTGATGGCGTGGAGCCCCTACACCTGGTACCAACTGCTTCTGGCTTCCACGAGTGACCCTTACCAAGCAGAGCTTTGTAGACTTCCAGGGAAAAAGGAGTTCAGGTTTCACTGATGGCTGACTGAAGTCCCTCAGCAAAGGAGCTGTAAGGTTGTATGATCCTCGGCCAAGCTGTGGGCTGTATAACCCCAGCCAAGCTGTAGAGCCTTTTCTCCCCGGCCAAGCTGTGGGCTGTATAACCCCAGCCAAGCTGTAGAAGACGAAGCTTTCTACAGGAGTTCTTGGTATTATGTCCTGCATGACAAGCTTCTCTGTGTGGACTGAACCCAAACTGGCTCCTATTCCCTCCAAAACCCAAAAAGGGGGCGGGACCAGGGAACCTAACTATAATTGACAGGTGGCTTACCCTATGATTGCAGCCAAAAGAAGCCACCTATCTGCAGAGTCCCTGAAACTTAGGACTACAACAAACATTCAGTGCGAAGCAAACAAAATTGGAGCTCCTGTTACAGCTGTACCTGCACACAAGTTCTAAATATAGCAGACATTTTTCAACTTGCCATACAAAGAAAAACATGTTCTATCAGTTTTCCTATGGGGATTTTTTTTTCATTTTTAGACCCAAGATTTGTCCTTGACTTCAACCTGGAATATAACATTCTCTTCAAAGTTTTCCTCATATATACCCCTTTTATGTCCACTCTTTCCCATTTCCTTTGTTTAAATAAAATAAAATACAAAATTGTACAAAACACATTCAGCTAATATACAAAACAGATTACGATTTGTGAACAGCTGAAAACCAGCATATTGGAAAATGAAAACTTCATTGTTTTCTGTAACAGAGTTCTGTAGTTACCACTATGATTATTAATACCAGTGCTCCATATGCAAAATAAATCAGGTGTAAGTATTTGATTGCAATGGATCAGCACAAGAAAATGTTCACAGTACTCAGTGGCAAAAGAAGACAGGATTTTATCATATAGACTAGATCAGAGAATGTCTAAAATCTGAAGACTTGTAGTTTCCATTTACATCTGACAAGAGTTTCCTACAAACTCTACTGGTGTGGTGATTAAAAATGATGACATGGCTATTAGGGAGAAAATTTTAGGTGTACACTACTTTCCATTTCCATTAAACTTCATTTGCCATTTTATTGTCCCTGTTCCAGTATCCATAGATCCTAATTCTTTTGGAGTTTTTACTTCACAAATTGGGGCTGATGTATAAATCTAGAAAATTCATCATTCATTCATAATCCCAGGTATTTTTTGAAGAAACTAAATATCATTGAACCTACTAAATATCTCGGCAGTTTCTCAGTTGTGAGGACTCTTTATTTACATTTGTCTTCTGATTCCTATTATTTAACTAGCTATTTCATAACAGGTTCTCTTTCTAGTATAATGATTGCTAGATTTACTTTTGAGACTTTGGTGAGAAGGAATTAGAAAGCTCTTGCTTCCTTTCACCTAAGGCTTTACTACCCAAATCATATTCCCACCCGACCCCGATTTATGGAGGTTGTCTTACCATAACCTGTTGTTGAAAGTCCAAGGTGTTTCATTCTGTTTTTCACCAATTCAGCAAGTTCCTGCCTTTCCGATCTTTTATAAAGATTCATTCTCTGCTGACTTATTTTCTCTGCTGATTTTGCGGAATGTCTTGGCACTTTCCGGCTCAGTCGTCGAGCCCACTGCATACTTTTTCGTCGTAGCAAAGGATGATCTGACTGATCACTGGATGTTGAATTGCGATGGTTGCTTCGGTAGTTAAATTGTTCTTTATTGTCCTTTGTGTCCTCCCATTCTTCCACACTGATAGAAATTTGAGACTGTAAAAAGAAAACCATTGCAACAATGAAATTATTTCTGAAATCATCTTCTTTTCCCTTGATTCTTTCTCAACACACAACACTCACTCCAATTCTCAATTCCACACCCATGCCTGTCTTCTTTTCTTTTGTTCTTGTATACAATACAAACCATTTTTATGAGCATGGACCTCTAGAGTGAACTTTATTGAAGAAAACCATGTATTTTCTTGTAGAAAATACATTGAACTGACAGAGCTTAGCGAACCACTGAGGCAACTAATTTAATCAGAAAGAGGACTGGGAAGGCCATCAAAGATAGGTGTCTCAGAGAGGTGGCACAAAGACTGGAAGTTAAAGGAAGGTGACTGAGAAGGGCTAGGTAGTGGGCAACTGCCTTAGATGTTGGTAAACAATGACCACATTTGTGTTGGAGAGGCAGAGGTAATAGCAGAGAACATGAGATGTGTGTAGCCAGTGGAGTGATAAGGTTAACCAGCTCCTGGTCCACTCAGAAAGAAAAGGCAAGGTTTTGGGGGTTGATTTTTTTTGTCAAAATGTCTCAAAACTTATATATGAGTAAATAGAGTAAGCCACAATTAATAACATTGAGTTTAGTGATAGGGAAACACTTCAGACCACATTGCACCAAATGCATAATTAATGAAATGCTGGGGGGGGGGCACGAAGAATATGAAGGTAGAAGCTAAATATTAAAAGGAATGTGTCAGGTTTTACAATGTATTGTAATGTAATATAGCTGAGTCATGCACTGCTAATAGGTTTCTATTGGAAATGCTGAGTCATGCATTAACTGTATATAGAACTTCATTTGGGGAATGTGTTCTGGCCTAGTCCAGGTGATTGTGAATTATGCAATCCTGGGTTTGAATTAAGTCAATGAGTTGGGAACCAATCAGTGATTGCTATGTGTAAATAAATTGTATATGAGGAAGTCATGTACAGTGTATATTTCTCCTTGTGCTGTGATGTTGTTCGTCGAAGGCTATATGTAATTAAAAGAACCTGTCTGCTAAGACAAGATATAACTGTATGCTGTGGTAAGTTTGTAATATCATCTAGACTGGGGGAAAGACAATGGTAAAACTGACAATGGCCGGGCATGTGCTCAAGTGTCTGTAAAAGGTTCCAGAGTGACTGCAGGCTGTGGGAGCAGTTGACTGAAAATACTGTGCAGGAAGAAGCTACTGGAAAGTGCTGAAGTTGTGCAACTGATCTGCTGCTGAATTGTGAAGTTAATCTCAACAGAATGTGTGTGCATGTTTATCTATCTAACCCAATAAACAGATTTACAATATTCAAATACTTTTATGTTTTTGCTAATTTGTCTTTGCACAGCTATGGTTTTATCTCACTTTTTCTCACTATTCCTATGAAATATGTTTACAGCACCAGTGTTTGATAAATCATAGTGGAAGCACTTACAAGTTAAAACTACTTAAATTGAAGAGATAATCCAAGTTATTGAATCCATTCTGGAGTGGGTGGGGATCAGATTTATATCGGTATATTATTTGAAAGATTATCTAAATGGTACAGCTCAAATGAATTTTGTTCTAGTTGTGAAGCTGTTAAGGAGGCAAGCCCAGGATCCATAAATTTATGTGTGGGAACTGGATCTTCACATGTGGTAGAATGCATGGATAAAGGTCACAAAACTCTCTGACAACATCAGGAGAGATTATAGTTGTACATAATGACAATTATATGTTAATATATGTTATAGTATGAGATAGAAATAAGCAGTTTTATTACTTAAACAGGCAGAGGGGGCTTTCAATGTAATCACATGCTTTTATTTTATCTGTTCATACTAAAGTGTACACTCCATAACACCTTTGATTGGGAGAATTGGAACATAGCCCTGATTATGGTGAAGTTTAATGTGTAGGGTGCACAGGATGAATAAACCTCACAACCTCTGAGGATGTTTGCCACAGATGCAGGCGAAATGTCAGGAGAGAATGCCTCTAGAACATGGCCATATATCCCAGAAAAAAACCTACAACAACCCAATAAACCTTTTATCACCAAGAGTTGCATATAGTTCTGGCTATGGAGTTGGAGTTTGCAACTAAGCACATACACTAGGGGTGTAATCCACTAAGTTTCTTCAGGAAGGTAGTAACAAGTAATTTCAGTAATTTTTTTCCTGCTATGAGAAAATATTTTAAAACTACACTGTTTTCAATAGCTATTTGATATTCAGGACCTTTTCTGCATAAAATGTGCACATAGCTGCTATGCACAGAAAATAGCATTTTCGGTATGAAAAATATTTCAGTGCAGAACGATTAATACCTGTGGAGAAAATGTTTTTTTTTTTTGCATGAGAAAAAAAGCTGTCATTGTGGATTTGTTCTATAGAAAACTGCATTTTCTGAGCATAAAACAACATTTGATGTGTGAGAAAGGGTACTTCAATGCAGAACTATTCATTATTGCCTGAAAAAATACTCTTTTCTCTGCAGATTATGCCATTTGCCTTGCAAATCAACCATGCATGAGTGGTAAGCAGAACAACTTCCCAATTTCTACATAGAAGACAGGTTTTTCTGCCCAGGAATTAGTAGTTTTGTGTTAAAATATAACTTTACATGCGGAAAATTATGCTTCCTAGCCCAAAATAATCAGATGCATATTTTTCTCAGTTTAAGCCCAGTTTTCAGAGTAGCATTCATCTTGTCAGAATTTCTCAACCTTTGAAAACATGTTTTCAAACTATTTTGAATATTTATAAATATTCTTTCCACCCCCACTACACACACAGAAAGATGGAGACAGAATGACCAATACACCCATGATCTTTGTTCATATGGAAAATGAGGATAATGACTCGCTACCATGAAAATTGCTATCTGTGTGACGATTTCTGGGGAGGAACTGGACAGTCTTAATGCACATCATTTCCTTCCCTTCTTGTTAATAATAGTAGAAAAAGAATGGGAATAAGTGTTCCTTGTTTCCTAAGGTAATTAAGTTTTCAAAATCTCAGGAAACCTCATTGGGAAGAATAATACAGAAGTGAGATTTTCATCCAATATTTATTTGAACATCTCAAAGTGTTTCAGGATATCATTATGTAGAGGAATAGTTATGGGTAGATCCTTTTTGCAGGAAAATTGTACCTTTTCTTTTGTATTTTTATTTTATTTTATTTTATTTGCACAATAAATACTTTCAAGCAATACACATAGCAAAAGTGGGATAATTCTACTATGGTAAGATCAAGGCATTTAAAGGAGCACATTTAAGTATTATGATTCAGTAAACTGTGTTCGGTACTGGAGTTCACAGAAAGCACCCCACTCCATCCTGAAAAATAATTCTTATTGATTTGTTGAGTATATAACTTTTTAGAAGGAGGAGATAAAGAAAAGGTTCTTGGGTTGCCTGAATTTATCTTTAGTTAAATTAGATGTGAATTTGTATACAAAGCACTAGTAATTCCTTGAAACAATTGCAGTGTTTCATTTTGTACTGGAGCCCCTGGTGGCGCAGTGGGTTAAACCCCTCTGCTGGCAGGACTGAAGACCGCCAGGTCACAGGTTCGAACCCGGGGAGAGGCGAATGAGCTCCCTCTATCAGCTCCAGCTCCTCATGCAGGGACATGAGAGAAACATCCCACAAGGATGATAAAAACATCAAATCATCCAGGCGTCCCCTGGGCAACGTACTTGCAGATGGCCAATTCTCTCACACCAGAAGCGATTTGCAGTTTCTCAAGTTGCTCCTGACATGACAAAAAAATTGTGTACATTCTTTTTACTAGATTGCACTGTTAACATATGATCTAGGATATTAAGTGCCCATTCTTATTTACAATTTTTCTTATTCACGTAGCAGGAATAAGGAGTTGTGTTCAGCCAACATTAGGCATACATATGACAAATACTTACTTGTGAAGCCATTTCTCGAGACTGACACAAAGTGGGAAGTGGGGAAAAGGAGAAAAAACAAAACACCATTCAACAACTGTGGCTGAACAAGAAATATACAGAGACAGTGATCATGATTTAGGGATTCTACAAGTAAACACACACTTATTTAGTGTGATGTCTATTCCTACTTTAAATTTAAAATAATTCAAGAACGTGAATAAAATGATCATCATGTAACCTGTCATGTCTCAAATTGTACTTGATCAACTTATATTGTTATATACAGATCAGACGGATTAATTTCATAGAATTTAAGTATATGGGTAATAATTTGTTTTAGAATGACATATATGATGAAATATATAGAAAATCTATATTATATTATCCTACCTTTTTGGGGGGAAGGGACTCAAATGTAATAAAAAGGTACAATGTAAGACCACCAATAATGTTATCACTGTGCATGGTTCCCCCTTCTCTCCCTGTTTTATCCAATTTATTTTCCTTTTACTTTCTACCTTGTGTTAAAATACAAGCAACAAGGAGAATTGTAATGGAGCCACCAGTGTAAGATACTCTGGGTCAATCTGTGTCACTTCAACACAGGAGGAGACTTACAATGACTTCACCTTGCCCTAAATGGTGTGATGAATCCATTTCCAGCCTGGAATGATGGAAAGCCCATCCAAAAATGACACTGAGGATTTTCACATTGAATTCATGGCTAGCCATAGGTAAAACTAATCAGTTTTACATTGGTGGATTCTTTACAGCTCCGAAAAGGTCACTTCTTGGCAGGCTCAAACCCAGAATCTCAACCAATGGCTGATACCAAATGAGAGACTGCCTCCTGGACACACAGAAAACTGGGCAATTTGGAAGGCGCTGAAGAGACTGCGCTCTGGCACCACAAGATACAGAGCCAACCTCAAGAAATGGGGCTACAAAGTAGAATCCATGACATGCGAGTGTGGAGAGGAGCAAACCACTGACCACCTGCTGCAATGCAACCTGAGCCCTGCTACATGCACAATGGAGGACCTTCTTGCAGCAATACCAGAAGCACTCCAAGTGGCCAGATACTGGTCAAAGGACATTTAATCAACTACCAAAATCACA